ATTTGTTGTCAAATAGACAACATCATTCGAATCGACATTTGATAATGTATGATTATTCTAACAAACAAAAAATAAAGAAATAAACTATTTGTAGAAAATTCAATAACATTTACTTGTTTATCTGTTAGTGTTTGATCATTAATTTGTTGATATTCCATGGTTGACATAGGTCGATTTGATTCAAGATATTTGATTCGTTTTTCTTTTTTAACTTCTTTGTCATTATGTTTTGTACGTAATAATGTTGTTCTACTTGACAATATTGGACTCATCGTTCGTTGTATTATTAATTTACGTATCATATTACAAAAATCAAATGCTCTTGATTCACGATGTATATCAAATACGTGACAATCGAGAAGAGAACATGAATTACCAGCACCTGGTTTTCGTATAAAAAATAATAGAAGTGGTGGATGATAAGATGTTAATGTTGAAAGAATATTATATTGTGATTTATTGATTGTTGAATAAAGTGTATGAAAACGTTGTTGATGTTCATAACCTATGGAACAAAAAAAAAATTCTTTTAGCAAATATAAATAGACAAACGTATGATATTTACATAAAGCTTTACGAATGTTTTTTTTTTTTTTGAAGAAGGAAAAAAACATCATCATTAAATGAATTATGTAAGAATAACAATTGATAAATAATCGTGAACAAATAGTAAATATAATGAATATAATTAGTGAATCGATCAAGTCTACTCGTTCGATTTACAAAATTAGAAAGAAAAGATTTTTCTAATTAATGATATTTATATGAATGAGATTAGAATGTAACACATCATCCAACTATTATTTTTTTGTTATAAAAGAAAAGAATTTCACAAGATTTCCTTGACATTATTTGTTACATTTATTACATGACAACAAGAAAAATGTTAACGTACACATACCTACGGATGAAATGAACGTGTTGCTTTTATGAAAGTATGTTCAAAGTTGAAGGTGACATAATAAAACGATCAAGAAAATGATCAATACAAGAAAAGAGAAAATATGTCACAAGTGATTGTGTCAATGAGTTTACTTTAAGAATATGTTGCGAAGTTTGCGTTAAGAATTCCTTCATCGTTTGATTTTTCGCATATCTTTTTCTTGCAGATTATTTCGCAAAGATTCACAATTTCAGAATCTGTTGAAAGATCAAATGATAATCAAGAATCGTCTAGCTGGAAACTGTTTGATCGAAGTCAAATCATGTTGAAATGATTAGACATAAAGCTCTCATCGTCTTAGGCTTGAAGAATATATGAATCAAATTCCAATTAAACAAAAAAAGAAAAAGGTAGTAATTGTTCCTTTCTACAAAGGAAATGAGAGACATGCAGAAGTTTAATTGAAACCAAAAAGTCACAATGTGTAGTACATTTTGTTACATAGCGTAACACATTTTATATTAACATGAATAGTTTATAATAGAACTGTGAATCTTGCAAAAGCATAACATCAAAACTACTTTTTTTGGAATAGTTCAAACTATATTTATTTCTATATTCTGTGATCAAATGATTCTTATAATGAATTTATTAAATCTAACTTTCATCGATGCATCTAAATTTTGATGATTACTCGTATTTTATAAACAATACTGTTGTATTGAAACTTACCGATTGGTAAAAAAGCTGCTTGTATATGTTTATCTTGTTGACTTTTTGTATTACTGACCACAATAGATAATTTCAATATTTGTATATCAACAATTGATTCAAAATTTGAATAGATAAATGTACGTTTACTTATTGTTGCTGCATTAGGTTCAAATATTAATAGATCACAATTCGATATAATAATACGACGTTGATCATGAAATCGTTCTTGATAATATGAAATATATAGTTCACGTAAAGGTTTTTGAAATGATTTTAAATTTAATGGTGATTTTCCTAATAATATTGCACCAAAATAAGGTAATTCTATTGAATAGACACTTTGCGATGGCATGTCGTTGTCAAAAAAAAAAAGAGAAATGAAAATGAGCTTTAGTTTTGTATTATTCGATGTGACAATGGTGACATTGACAAACATAGCTGTCACAATAATCTATGGATAAGTATGTGTATGTACGTGCGAACCTTGCATAGCTATACATGAATGAGACGGATGTTCAATAGAACGATGAAGAAGGATGGATTGAACGTGGTATGTGTTTATTAAACAAAGAAAAAAAAAAAAGAAAGAATCCGATTAAACGTAAATGTGACTTGCGTGTTAGATGTAGGATCACATTTTTTAGTGAATTCAACATTGAATAGAATAAAAGTGAAATTTAAGTAATAGACAGGTGAGACATTGATGATGCATTACAATTAATAGGTTCAAACATACGTATATCGTAAGAAGATTGGAACAAAAGGTAAAGTTAAGCATTTTATTGCTTGTCTGTTGTTAAGTGAGTTCAATAGAACAATTAATTTTCGAATTAATCAGTTCGTTTCTTTTCTGATCATGTTAGTATTATCAAACAGATTTTTCAATCCTATTCCATTAACCTGGCATATCTGACGTTGTGTTCTTTTCAATAAAACAACTTTGTCTTTTATAGCGTTAAGATATATTTCTATAATCTCATACTGAAGCAAAAATTAAATCGGTGGATATAACTGGAGCCCTACGGAGTCAAACTTTTAGACCCCGACAACACTAGCACTAATCACAATTTTTACAGACTCTGAAAATCTTTTTGTGCTATGTTTTAATCCTTCGAGAACCGGCTCTTATTTTTTCACGAAAAAAAGTTAAACTTTCATTTACAAAATTACTTATAGTTAGAAATTATTAATCATAATTGTTTTATCTAGATTGGATGCAAAAGATGCATGATACTTATTTTCGAACATCAGAAACAAAACACGCATCCAAGAAACATAATAAACAATAATTCGATAACAAATGAGAAGGACAGTTAATGCAAAAAAAAACTAGAAATTTAATTAAGTATAGAACTCCTCCAAACAACCCAGAGAACAAAACGTACATTACAATCTTTATACAGATAGCGTGAATCAGTTCTCTTTCTAGGTCTTCAACTCGCGTGTGCACATAAAACATCAATTTTCTAAGAGGTTATTCTATTTGTAGTTTGGGATACAAAAAATGGAAAGTGTTTAGAGGTAAGTCTACTTGGTTTTATAAGTCAATGTAGGACAATCTGTTTTAGGTTTTGAAGCACTATCTAAGATTTCACGAATAAATTGTAAATGATATTTAATCTATCAATTTTAATTTCTTTCCTGTATTGAACTTTATAAAGCAAATGTATAATGAACGATGACGAATTACATTCAGCTAAATATATGTATTCTACGCCTAGACTATTTCATAATATCTATTTGTGTGGTATGTATATTTGAATGAAGTCCATATTGAAAATCTCAATTTTCGTGTATCTAAGTGATTCTTTTCTTGGTCTAATTTTGAAAACGCATATATACGAGTATAGACAGCCGAGTCACAAGGCTTGAGTGGACTTAAACACTTTTCTCCTTCCATCAAATTCATATATTTGAACAGTGCCTCACATTACTTATATAAACGGCAATATTTTTCGGTGCCTTCGACTGTTAATAAAAACATTTTCTTAGTCCAACAGAATTTGAAAGCATTTTTGAGAAAACATTGAATTTTGCATAACAAGTAAATATTGGATCACATATCGACAATGACTTGAAGTGGATTTCCTTCATTACTAATGACGAAGAAATGTACGAAAAATCTGAGCTAGATTAACTAGAACCTGCGAAAAATTTTCTTTCGCTTTCCGTACCTATGATTACATGTCTATTAAACGTTTTCAACAATGATGAGACTCACAACACAACATATTTTTTTTTGTGAAATACTGCTTCTTCATCAGTAAACTTTTTCCCAATAAAGCAGATCATAATCTCTTCTTTCAGATGCTGCATTTTGATGAACATAAACATTTGTACGTTTCTTCAAATGTGTCTTTTTTTACGCAAGTTGCAATTTTTTTTCTGATCTGCACCACTGTTACATATTGAAAAATGTGTATTCGATAAAAGAGATATTAACCATATTTCATTTAAGTGGCATTCAAAAATTCGTCCTCTCATGTTTTTAACTTCCAGATGGAGATCTTATAGAAAATGTTGAGCCTAGCTGAGAAATAAAACGTTCTGTCACCTATGTATACAAGCTCGGTCTCTAAATGGTTTATAAGAATGCCTCTCGAACGTTTTTTTTTCTTCAAATTTATTTATGAATCTCTGGAGTTTTGATTTTTGTTCATTGCTTAACATAAGAAGAATAAACTTGTTATAATGTAACAGTGAAAATACATGGCTGTTTTACTGATGTTACTCCGACATTTATTCGAAAGAAAAAACTCTTAACACAAACTCAGACTTTGGGATGTGTAGTTTCAGTTTACTGACCACTGATTCAGTGTAGTTAGTGTACACTGAAGCACAGGAATACACTATACAAAAAGAAGATAGTTTGATAAATTTGCTATCTCAATATTGCAGAGTATTTGCGGATTTCAGTGCAGTCCATATCCCATTGCACCCTGTGTTGGTAGCTCTCTATTCAATATTTACACTAAGTCTGTACATTCTCACTCCGATTTCAACAGAATCGGGTTTCGAAATTCAACGCAAACTCAAGATATGAAATAAGTTCATTTTTTGCCAAAAAATATAATATTTGGAAACTATCACCAAATATACGATACTTTCCCTATGAGAATTTTTTCGAATCCTTTTTTTTCTCATTTTTTTTTCAATGTACAATCTACATGTCGATAGATATACGTCTCATTGTTCCAAACAGATTTGTTTTAATACTGACATTGAAATATTCAAATTTTTTTCATCGCATTTCCAATATCTAACACAAATTATTTGCAACATAACTTTCAATTGACTTATACCAATCTTTGATAAAATTTATTTTTCTTTCTAAAAAAAAAATTAGACTACACTTTCATTTATTTTAATCGACAAGAAAAAAAATCAAATAGGTTTTTTTTAGTTAAGTAGGACGAGGTTCATCAGCCACCTTTATCTTTTTTCTTATTAGTAGATATTCCGTTGCACCATAACCAGTCATACCTAATGTTAAAAATATTAATAAAATAATTAATCCTATTTTTATACGAATATATGGTGTTATTATATAAAATAATACAAAACCACTTGATTCCCAAAGACGATAATTTGAAAATGCAGCTTCATCTTTATCAGTAAATAAGACACCATAAAATGCATTTATTTGTGTTTGCCAAACAGCATCAGCTAAACCCCATAGACCAGCTAAAACAAATAAAACAATTATTTGACTTTCTGTTGGTTTCCAAATAAACATTGTTATTATTAAAGAATAATTTATCATAGCAGCAATAAGAAAACATGACCAACGACCAATAAATTTTACTAATTGACCAAAACAAAGACTACCTATAGAATCACAAATACCATATGCAATTAAAATTAAACCAACGTATTTTGCATTCAATGTACATGAAACAAAACCCTAAAATAAAAGTAAATAGCAAAGTTCAAAAAGAACTTTGTTGGATAAGATGACCATCCTTCATTGACAAAGCCACCTATATCGTTTTGTAGAGTAACTCGTGTCGCATCAAGTGACACATAGAAAATTGCTTAGTATGAGGACTGAGTATGTCTCCAAGTCAACTTATATCAGATAATTTTAAATATTTAATCAATAGTTTTGTCTTGTCTTCCATTGTGTCTATCTAATCGTGCTCGCATTAGCTGTGCTCACGCTCAAAATCTTAGCATTTTTATAAATTTCTGTAATTTTTACCTTTTGCAAGCATTCCAATTCTTCAGTACTGCTCCTGAGAGTAAAGTCGACCAATCACAGAACTTTCTTAGAGATTGTGTACCATGATGCCCTATTAGTATACTAAGTGACTATCCTCTGAAATGTTGTGTTTCTATCTATTAATTAATAACCTCACTATGTCCTATGCTTTAACATATGTCGATCTTTCGACAATGATGAAAAACGCTTTCGTTTTCTGACATCTAAAGGACGGTACAGAGATATGCGAAACTTTCAATTCTCATAAGAAATCGAACAGATATTGAATTTAATAGAACTCCATACTTTAATCAGACTTGACTACTCAGAATCTAAATTCTTAAGGAACAAAATAACATAATGCATAACCGACTTTGCTCTCAGGAGCAGTATTGAAAAATTTAAAACATCACAAAAGTCAAAAATTACAGAATTTAGTAAAAATACTAATATTTTACTTATGAAGACAGCTATTATCAGTATTATTAGATAGACATGATTGCAGACGAGACAAAACTCTATTGAAGTCACTGTAAACAAAATTTGATATAAGTATTCCGTAAAATGTACATGACTTCTTAGAATATTAAAGCTTGATTAAAAAAAAGCAATATCCTTTATACCATTTGACGCGACACGAATCGCTCTACGAAACAGTATACGAGACTGTTCAGATGAAGTATGGTCACCTTATCCGACAGAGTCCTTGAATCTTTATTTACTAATGTAAATTGTGCTCCGAGAAAGGATTGTTCTAAACCTGACCAAATAGTTAATGGAATAAGAAATAATTGTTTGACATGACGCATATGTTTAACTGTTGAAACGAGTAGTGTAACAGAATGACGAAACATCAGAGAAATATTGTCTATATGAGAATAAATTACATTTCAATTTTTTTTTCTCTCATTGACTTCTATATATAACTATATACCTTTTGATGCTTTTCGTCGTTGATTAAGAAAACTTATGACTAATAATATTGAACAAATACATATACAAACATAGACAATACAAAGAATATTAACCTAATATAAAAATAAATAATAGTAATAATATTATTTTTGTTTCTTTTTGCTACTGTTTTTCGATCAATTTGATTAATAACTTGAGAACCTTTATATTCTTGTTCACTAAAATCTGCTCCACATTTATCATATTTTCCTATTGAATTTGTTATTGTTTCATTCCTTTGTATTTCTATAGGTTTCAGTACTAGATATGATATTAAATTTCCCCATACTTGTGCTATATAGAATGATATTCTTTGATACTAAACAACAAATAATAAACAAACCTGATTGAAAAAACATGAAGAATAAACCAAAGAATCTATTAACAATAACATTTTTATGAACAAGTTTACTTTCAGCATAGATTGCACCAGTATCAGTTAAATAACTACATTTTGAAGTCCATAATGGTGCAGCAGCTAAACCGACAAGTGCAGCAGCTTTTATAAAACAAGATTTTATAGCAAATAAAATGTTTAAATTATTTCTTACTCGGATACATAAGATATGCTTTCGGATAACAGTTAGCTGCGATATATAAAAGATACCTTAAAAAAAGATACCACCGGTTATATCAAGCGTAATTAAATTCACACATAAAATGCTCAGAATATAGTTTATCAAATATATGAGCTAGAAGTATTTAGAAAATAGTGTACGGAAACATTTCGAAATTTTCAGGTTAGATATATCCCGATGAGTAGAGCAAAATCTCCTATGAATACTGAAACCACAATGATCACAATTTTCACTTTCCTTTTCTCCGAGATGTTATGTTTGATTTTTTGTATGACCTATCAAAAATTAGCAGAACAATATTTTATGGAGAAAAAAAATACCAAATCCTAAAGAGTATTTAGTATGACACATTTTCTTGCCTTTGCATACATATGTAAGTATTCCTGTTCGCGTATTGTTCATCAATCATTTTTAGCTTGATTCTCCTCTCCTCTCTCCTTTGTACTGTGTTTCTTCCATGAATATACGAAAGAATAAACCACAAACAACCCAAAACTCTTATATAAAGTACATTTCAAAAACGTTTCAGCTCAATTGGGCATACTAAACCAGAAAAACACGAATAGTTCTGCATTTTTTTTTTCAGAAAAAATTTGGTTTTAGAAAAATGCAAAACAATGTAAAGTTCTCGCAGATTTGATTTCTTCTCGAATATTTTAAACGTCTAAAGACAACTTTTCGATATTTAGTAGATAGATAGCACTTCAGACTATATAATGACCAGAGAAAAAAACAAAAACTTCTGAGCTACGAAAGGAGGGAAGGGTATCCGTAAATCAAGTCAAATATTTATTTAATCATATTTGCGAACTCAAATTGTATTGCATATACTCACGGAATTTGAGACACAACAATCGTCCATTTTAGACCGAGCATAGCTATTATAGGATGTGGTAAAAATATAGATGAAATAATAAGAGACGCATAAATAATTGATAAAGAATTGACGCCAACATTAGCTTCGGTATTTAACGAACTTTGTAAATTACTCATAGCTTGAAATGCAGTAAATTGAAGAAGAAAAGCCATACAAATAACGAATAAATTTTTATAGGTTCGAAAAGTGAGTTGTTTCTTTGCCAAAGATTCATTTGAAATATCACCGTCAGCTACAGTTTGTTCAGTTTGTGACTTTAGTTCAATATCAGATGTAACTGACGACATATTGATTTTGTGATGTTTTTTTTTCGAAACTATAAAAAAGTGTAATGATCAATAACAATTTATGACTACGGATTATAATTGTTTAACGTGGACAAAACGATAGCTGTTTTTTTTTGGTGATCAAATAGATTTGTTTTCCTTTATAGATATGTAATGATGTAAACTGCGACGAAAGTAGAAAAAAGAAGTTATTGTATTTCGTTTCAATCATACAATAAGAAAAGAAAAGTAACTTGTGATGATTCTATCAATCATTGATTATTTTGATCAATGTTTGAAATAGAAACTAGCAAGAATTGACTTTATACTAACAACAAAAGCAACACAATTTTTATCTGTATGTCTATTCAAACAGATTGTTTACACGATGTTGTGATAGATGATTATCTTCTTAATAGACATTCACGTATGTTATAATGATATTTAGGCTATCTAAACTTTGATCGAAAGTAAAAATGTCGATAGCATAAAGTCAAAAAAAAAGCAATAGTGAAAATGTCTTAAGTGCAGAAATTGAAAGAAAAAATTCTGAGAACTAAAGTAAAAAATTCTAAATATTTTCTTGTTCGAAACATTGAAAAAAAATCAAGCAGCTAAATTCGAATAAAATGTTTATTATTGAAAAAAGAAGAAAGAAAGAGTAGCAAAAGTAAAATGAAATATTAACTTATCGACCTTAAATAATATTCTTATTGTACAACTATGACTTATTTTTTGCTATGATTAAAAACAAGCTGTTGAAGATATTGGATGTGATAGTGAAATAATTATGATATCAATCATACGTGTTAATGCGACTTTGTAATGCTGCTTTCGTGTATATTTTGTTGCTTTGATGTAGGTATTAGTATAGATATAGATGAAGAGCAGACCGACATCCACACTCCTTATTCACACCACCACTGATCTTGGTTTGAATAAGTTTTTTTAGTCATATTTGATTAATGTTCTATTAGTGCAGTCTTCATTATGTTTTCGTATTGTTATCAATTTTGTTCAAAGAAATATTATTCTATCTGTCCATATTAGTCTCTTTTCATTGTTTATTCACTTTAAGGAGAATTATATAGATTTTATACATTTTAAAATATTATTGATGATTGTTTTTTACTTGGTGTATTAAGTAGTTATTTAATAGAAGAAATAAAAATTAATTGACATGATATGGATATGCAAAAATTTATTCATAATAAAAATTTGTTGCACCTTGTCTACTGAGAATAATAACTTTATCGCTGATTATTGAGACCTATGAATTATATTAAAGTCTAATGGTGGACTTATGAACCCGATATCTATCCTACAAATAATACAAGCTCTAGCTTTAAACAGCAGACCGACCTGATGTAGTGTTCTAGCGCTTTCCGTACACAGTGATTAATCACATAATAACCACGAGAGCAAATATATGTTACAAGTTACTTTAGTCAACGTGCTGTGGAACGAGTAATCTAAAACAAACAGCTGTTAGTACCCAGATCGGAGCGCAGTCTTTATTGAGTACGTTTCGAATAGCATAGTCACTCAACCATGACGACCTGAGGGTATATCGAAACGGACAAAGACTGAAATGCAAAAATATTCAATTGGAAAAAGTCGAAATGTTCTTTAAAAAATTCTGACTAGCAAAATATACTTTTTATTTGTGGTGGGATGTCAACACGTTAACAAGTAGCAAATCAAGACCAATAAAGATATGAAGTCGAGTTTTATTTAAAAAAATGTTACTTTTTTCGTTTCAGAAATACACAATTGCATATCGAGATGTGAGTCTGGATCTCCTCTTAACTCACAGCCAGTCACAGGCTCTTTGGTTCATCACCAATAAAACACTAGTAGTAATTCACCACCACAGTATCCTATTATCTTTCGAAAAAATGAATAGTCATTCTATGCTTAATTAATTGAGGCTTAATTTGTTGGATGAGATACACAACGAAACCTTTTCGCTTATTTCATCAATGAAAATATTATCGCTTTTAACTTTATCCCATTACATATGATTGATAATGGTATTCCATATGTAATAATCCAAAACATTGAGGTTAAAACTGTTTGGTGACCATTTGAGATTATTTATAAAATACATGAAATTCTCTTGACACGATACTAATGATTCCTGACATGCATGTGACGCGCTTTCGTTCTGTTAATACATGAAATCGTCGTCTAGAAGCTATTTGCTTTTAGGTTGTGCATGTGAGAGAACAATTTCAATGTAATTTTCATATGATAATGTTTCACATAGTTTAAAGATAATTGGAGATGTGAGATCATTTTTAGATGCAATTAGCCATACTATAATTCTTTTGTGGATATTTAGCTATTTTGGCTTATGCTTCCTTGTTTATCTACTTCTCTTGACTTACAGTAGACACATGTTCTAATGAAAAATATTTTTCTTCAATAAACAGCATCGTCTGCAATCGATTTGATAAAAGAAAGCAAACTGATCGCTTACTAAACAAATTATTATGTTTTCAATGTCGGAAATTTTGTAATGTTATACTTTGTTTTTAAATAAAACGTATTAAATCATAAAATGAAAAAATATAAAAACCTCATCATTTAGAATGAGATCTTTGTTAATTAATTTTTTAAAATATGAGATAATAAATTTTATCAAATACTAGAAATAATCTTTTAAATATCACGAAACTAATTATCTAATAAATTCTTCACATCGTCTTTAATTCGTTTTTGTTCTTCGGATGATAAAGCTAGTCCATTCAAATGTTCACATAATTCCGGTTCTGTCAAAGTATTGTAAACATCTTCACCTAAAAAGAAATATAATTCTTTTTCCTGAGCAAAATCCATTCTACATCTTCTTACAGTGAATTGGCATAAATCCTGATAGTTCAACAAAGGCAAAATTACATCGATCGAATCTATATCCCTCTATATTAAAATGTTAGAATAAACTCTTGATAATTATTCAAAATACATACTAATAACCGATTGACGAAACCAAACAAATATGCGTAAAACATTTTCTGACGATGAAAATGAATCACCTTTTACAATTGTCATATTATGAGCAATATTATTTGTACTTAAATAATTTGTTATTTTATACACATATCTAAATAAAATATGAAGATTATCATTTTATTTTCAAGTGAAATTTTTACTCAGCAATTTTATTGAATTCATCAACCTGTCGAACTTCAAAAGCAAATGCTTGAGTTTGAAATAAATCCGAAAGATAGCAATTTGATTTTGTATGAAACGGAGAACATTTCTTAAAAAATAAAATTTTAACTTACGAGAGAACATTCCGAAGTGATTCGCACCGTTTACCGTCATATTATGCCTATAGGTAGGGCTCATAGTGTAGGTAAATACCCTAAAAGGCTACATGTCATTGTGCCATTCTTCTCGAGTTATGACCATTTTACTGAATTTTCAGTCTATCACAACTAGAGGTGTAAGCCGTGCGGCTGAGCCGCCGACAGACTCGAAAAGTTTTAAGCCGCCGCCGCCGTGACAGTAGCAATTTTAGAAATTTTGAAGTCGTCGTCGCTGAGACGCTTTAATTGCAGCCGTCGCGCCGCCGATGGTATTCAAAATTTTAAAATTTTCGAGCCGCCGCTGGCAATTAGCATAAATAAACGTTTTATTTATATTTTCTTTAATTCGGTATTTTGACATCTTAGAATCCCAATATATCTCTTCTTCATTATCTTCCTCGCCTTCAACTGCACTTTCGTGCTGGTTCTTTGACCAATCAGGTGCTTGGGGTTCTAAATTGTAAACAAACCCTTAATTCTGTGTTGGTTGAAAATTCTAAGTTATCATTTCAGTTGTTTATGTCTTTATATTAGGTATATTAATAAATACAAGAAGAGATGAACATTTTAAATTTTGATTAACAAAAACAAAATAAAAACAACAAACTTGAATACGCTAAGTGCCTTTACTTATTAACAATCGTGGTGGTGATTTTTCATTTATTGTTTACCCTAGCAATTATATTTATTTTTAATTTTAGACTTTTTTTTATTATGTCTAGATGTGAATTAAAGTTTTTCGACATATGTGTTTGAAGATAAAAAGGCCGAGATATTGAAATAGGCCTTGTCTACACTAAAAATGTTGATGGTAAATTAAGAAACATGATTGGTTAAACAGTTAATAAACATTTAAAACACTTTTAAAAGTGCATTAAATTTATTGCACTATTCAGAACCGCATTAAAGTTGATACACCAATCAAAGTCTGATTGGATTTTCCAATGAGACTGACGCAGTTTTCAATGAGCAATTCCTCTATGATTGAAGTGAACAAAAACTACGATTCATTTCAAAGTCTAGGATTCTGATTGATGCATGAACTGACAAATATAGACACGAATTGATTTAATACGAATTGAATACTGCATTATCCTCCTCGTGTAGACAAGGTCATAGACTAATTTCTTTAAGATAATGTAGTACATTTTAAACTTCAAGCCGCCGCCGCTAAGACACTTTAATTACAGTCGCCGCGCCGCCGATGATATTCGAAATTTTACAATTTTCGAGCCGCCACCGCTGTGCAACCTTGGAATATCAAATCTGCGCCGCCGAGCATTTAAAAAAAAATTTAAAAAACTGGCGCCGCCGTCGATCAGCCTATCGGCTTACACCTCTAATCACAATGTATTAAGAAAAAATCTCCACAAGTAATATCCACTTGAAAATTTTTCGAATAATAGATCTTACGGTCCTTATTATAACCTGAAAGTTTCAACTCAAACAAATGAGGTTTCCTAACGATATGGAGTATCTTGAAAATATACTATTTTCGGAGCTTTTCTGAGAAATTAGTAGTTTTTTGCAAATGCATTATTTCGGAAGGGAACTATTCGTTTGAGCTGAAACTTTCAGAATATAATAAGGACTATGAGATCTAGTATTCGAAAAATTTTCAAGCGGAAATTCCTTATTGAAATTTTTTTCATAATACGTTGTAATAGGCTGAAAATTCAGTAAAATGCTCATAACTCGAGAAGAAAGGCACAATGGCACGAAGCCTTTTAGGATATTTACCTACCCTATGAGCCCTACCTATAGGCATAATATGACGGTAAACGGTGCGAATCACTTCGGAATGTTCTCTCGTTAGACAAAACAAGTTGTTAGCATAATCTCTGTCAAGTTAAAATGTTAAACACGCTATTAGTACTGTTACTAAGCACAAGAAGATTGCTTTATTCTATCTCTTTTGGGACACTATCATTTCGCTTAAGCCTCCAGAAATGCAATAAGGAAATATTTAGTTTATTAGAACGAGATGTTATTCAGATACGAACTGTGATAAAGAGGGGAAACATTGCTAAGATGTACAGCCCTGCGAGGATTCAACTTGTTGAACCCGCACCCGATTCCATTCTAGAAGTTAAATGCTTTGGTTTTCAACAAATGAATCACTTGAAAGTGAGGAATATATGTGGAGTTTTAGGATTCTACAAAGGCATCTACGATGATCTATGATCGGTGATTAATTCTGAAAACCTTCTTTCATTATATTTTTGTGTAGCATTTATTGTTGCTAATGGTCACGTCCAGTAAACGAACAATATCAATTTTATAGACAAATAATATGACATTGAGAAAAGGCCAAAGAAAACATCTACACTGGATTAATTTGCACAAATAATTATTGCGAAAATGACAAGATCATTGGACACGAAACCTGTCGCTAATTTACGGAATTGAAGAAAGCGTGATTTTGTAGGTCTCTAGTACTTGTCATAATCTATAGGTGAGAAAGTATTCCGGAATTTCTACCTCCACACTTCGACACTCTTTTTACATCGTGTTTTACGTAGCAATTTTAAAATAAAATTTTAAATTAGAAGAAAAAAAATTACTATTGTTTGAAGAAATATACGATCAGGCAAATACATGCCATGAAGATGTAACTAAAACATAAACGAATATGAAATCAAAAAAATAAAATAAAAAAAATCTTACATGATTTACTGATGCATAACCACAAAGTGAATTAAAACCAGCCGTTATATATGGATGAGCACTTGAAGCAACAAACTCAAATCCAAAAACAATACAATCAATAGTAAGAACCTATTTAAATCAATGTATTTCTTTATTTCTAACTTTTCTTTTTCTATTACTTGTGATTGTTCAAGTTGACGATCATGTACAAGTAATACATGATAAGGACGAATAGGTGCATTATTAATTATTATTAAGTGTTTATCTGTTTGTTGTTCCTTATCTAAAGAAAAAAGAATCTAAATATCCATCAGATTATTTTTTCAATGAAAATATTTATTATCCTTACTTCCTCATCTTTTATTTTATTAAAATTAAATTTCTTATTATCAAATGGTGTATTCACATGTTCAAATGGATATGGTGGTCGACGTTTTTCCTCTCGATTACGATTAAACTATATGTCGAAAATAAATTTATTCGAAATAATTTCCATATAAATAATTTACTTCAATAATATAGTGTAGATCTCCATCATCAAGTATTCGTTGTTTAGTATGATAATCCATTGGATACATAAAAAGACCTTCAGCAACAGCACGATCCCATTCGGAACGCAGTAAAATATCGAACTAAATAATACAATATAGACACATCTATACTATATAATACTATTACTATAGTTGTATCTTAGGATAGGAACAACAGTAAGACCTGAAATATTCACAAAAACATATTCTTGTTAAAGCCTATCTCTATGCAAAGATTGAAAATCATTTTTCTGTTATTCCTGCATTCATCTAAAATATATCATAAAAATGCAGTTTGTCCGTAGCAGTAATCTGAAAGAATTTTTTCCAGAGTATTTATAGCACATTTGGATGTACATAATACACATAGTCTCGAGTCAAATGGAATTAAATAGAGTTGAAGGACTTCTGTCAACAGAGGTAACATTTATTTTTTGACGCAATTACTACTTCATCAACCCCACTCTTCTCATGAGAACACATAAATAGGAGAATGCAACACAAGTAAAGCAATATTTTTTTTTATCTAGTACGTTTCGAACTCAGTTGCATATGGTGCTCAAGATTCTCACAAGCGGAAAACTTTGGTCTTCCGTCTCAAATAGAACTCTTCTAAATATCTCAGTTCGTCAAGTACTGATGGGTTTTAGCGTACATTCTAAAACATTCTTATATTGCAGACTACAGGAAAGATACTAGAACACTTTTTTCATAGAGTTAGACTAGGAGACTCTGCACAATACGAAACTAATAACTTTTTATACTAACGGAGCATACTGATAGTCTCTGTCTTATAAAGGAGTGAGCGTCCTCACACAAGTTTGATATAGCAAATAAAGAGGTCTCTATCCAATCAAATTGACTCGATGATGTTTGATTCAATTCCAATTTTCAATGTTAATCAAATAGATTACTTTTTGTCATTCGATTATGATTCTCTTTGTTAAAGATTAATGCGAAATCTTACTTCATTGAATTTTTCTTCTGTATAACATGAAAAATTTACAGAATTAGGATCAAATTTGTAATGTTTCCACATCTAAAAAGAAGAAATTTTAGACTAATAATATATTAATAAATGTAAAAAAAAAAAAAAATTCATCTACCTGTTCTGTTCTTCCACGAAATACTTCTTCGATTTCAATTGGTTGATAACAAACAAATCATTTCTCTTTATAGTATCATCTCATTGGTGTAAATAAATGCTACATTGATTTACATTATCTTTCATCAAACTTTTCATGTATTTTTAAGAATATTTTTTATCAAAATGGCTACAAATAAAAATACTGAAGCAAAATTACCTGTTGAAAAAACAAAAGAACTTGCTGAAACATTAACGTAAGTATTCCAAAAAGACAAAAAAGCATATATTTAAACTTTTTTATCTTTTTTTAAAGTGAATTTGAATTGAGTAATGGTGTTATAAGTGCCGATAATCAAAATGAAGAAGTATCAGCAATTGATGTAAGCTTTGTTTTTTTTTATTTCAATAACACAAAAAAAAACATATTCTACATTCTTCTTTTTTTTTGATTTTAATAGAAATATAAACAACGTCTTGAACGTTTTGGAAAAATAGCACCTGAAGCAAAAAAAATTTCTCGTGCATTACGTTTTGGTACATCACATGTATGTCAACAAGAAAAAACAAATTGTGTCCATTGTATTTTGTTTCTCTTCTATTCTTAAGGAAGCCATTGATGGTACAGCTAAAAAACGACGTTTAGAAAGATTTGGAGCTGTTCCTCATTCAGCAGTACGAATTTTAAAGATATTATTTAATGAAATAATTTATTATTGTTTTTATATAGGAAGATGAACAACAAAAAAAACGTCTACGAGCTGATCGTTTTCATTTAGTTAATTCAACATCGACAACAGATGAAGAAACAAAGAAAAAACGTATCGATCGTTTTGGTGTTGTTACACCATCTACAGTAAGAAATCATTTGAATGATATTGAGTTTTATGAATAGAATGTTTTTGTTATTTATATATTGTCTCGACGTATGTGAGCATTAGATAATTGATGATAGAAACAAAGAAATATAATTTCTTATTTCTTTTTTCCCATTAATAATTTAAATGAGCCATGACTTACTTATTAACAGTTAATTGTTCGAAGTTAAAACTAAAAATTCGTTTGACTTGATATCAACAATCTAAGTACACTTAATAGCTTGTATAATGTGCCGAATAGAATTGAAATCCAAATAGAAATACCTTGAATAGGTCAATCTGAAATCTGCCTTAATCAGAGAATGTCACATAACAGTTTTCTTGGATATGTTCTGCAGAATATAGAACATTATCATTTAACCATCGTGTTTTATACAAAAAATGAACTCCTTGCGTTTAACCTGCAAGACTATCTTTTCATTGGATTTTTGCCAAGGATAAAAACTTGTCTGTGTATAAGGTATGATGTCAAATATCATAAACATACTGTTTACAATAATCGAAATTTTGCCGGGGTTTTTTGAACAAAAACATATTACTTGCTCAGATCAAACAGAAAATCCACTTTCAAGTTTTGACTGCAAGTTTTGCACAAACAAAGTTCTTAATGAGATGAGTTAATTAGACAAATTGTAACTTTTCTAGTATCTTCTTGCCTAATATATTCAATATTCGAGATTCTCTTCTGTATAAAAGTAAATATTAGAAACATTACAACTTACATAATCAACTAATCTCATCGTGAGTTTTGTTCATGTAAAGTTTGAAGTTGAAGCTTGAAAATAGATTTCCTATGCGATCTGAAGGATTCTACAACTTCTGCTAGAGAAACCGAGTAAAACTTCAATATCTCAAGAATATCCATCGAAGGAAGACCTTTCTGATCAAAAAAGCGATTTGACATCCGGAGAAGTTTCCTCGCGGTCTAAACAAATCTTGTATCAAAGAATTAGTCGCTGATATAATATATTCTTTTGGGTACTATTAATTATAATGAACGAACGCGGCACATGTGTCTCTTAGCGTAGAACTTCATTTGATCCCGATCCATTAAATGACTTGGATATTCTACAGGACTCAAATATTATCCTTGAAGTCTTGCGTCCTGTAACTTTCTCCGATTTCAATCCCAATGTCATCCTTTTGTTCAGAGTTATTCGCTTCAAAATAACGAAATTTGCATTCTTTGAATTAATATTTTCAAATATTCTATATTTTAGACTAATAATAATAAAACTGCTGGAAAATCTGCATCAACTACTCCAGTTTTATCTGATGCTATTAAAAAAAGAGCTGAACGTTTTGGTGATATATCTCAAGCAGCTAAAGCAAAAGCATTGAATGTATGCTCCAAATTTTTTACTATTATTTAACAAGAATATTTTTATTATTTAGGAACAAAAACTTAAACGCACTGAACGATTCAAAACAATAGCAAATGCTTAATGTTAACTCTTATTGTCTTGACACTGTTTTTTTTTCTTGTTTTTACATTTGTCTTTTTCTTGTTCATAAACGCGAAAGCACAATTTTATGTGTAGAAAAATATACTTGAAATAGAAACAATTGTTTATATTTAGACAATGACATCTACTAGTCGACCACGTCTATTAATAGTTTTGCAAATACCTTCACAGTTTATTCATTCACTTGAACGTGTATTTGATCTTGATTATCAGGATATACCCACACCTGTATCTCACGAACAAATTTTATCTCGTATTCGTGCTCATCCTCCTGATGCAATTTTTTTTATGGCAAATACACGAATTGATCAAGAAATATTATCTGCAGCAGGTGATAAACTCAAAATGTTAGCTGCATGTTCAGTTGGATATAATCATATTGATATAAAAGAATGTGAAAAAAGAGGCATACGTATTGGATATACACCAGGTAGAATAGAATAGTGATGATCATTTAGAATAGATTAATAAATCATATTTCGAAATCTCTAGGTGTATTAACAGATACAACAGCTGATTTAGCGATTGCTTTATTATTAGCAACATCAAGAAGGATTGCTGAAGCAATGCGAGCAGTTCGTGTAAGACATCTTAATGAAAATGATTTATTTTTGTTTTCTATTCATTTATAACTTTCAAATAGAATGGTGAATGGGGTACATCATGCAATGCAATGTGGATGTGTGGTAAACCTTTAATTAATTCAACAATAGGTATTGTTGGTTTAGGTCGTATTGGTTTAGCTATTGCACGTCGTTTACAACCATTTTCTATTAAACGTGTACTTTATAGTGGTACACGTGAAAAATATTTTGATTCAGATAATGATAAGAAATTATTTAAATTTGTTTCATTTGAAGAATTATTACATGAATCTGATTTCGTTATTATTGCATGTGCATTAAATGAAAAAACAGCAAATATGTTTAATAAAAAAGTATTTGAACACATGAAAAATGATGCAATTTTAATTAATATTGCACGAGGAGGTATTATTGATCAAGATGCACTTTATGATGCATTAAAAAATGATCAAATTGGAGCAGCAGGTAAACAAACATTGTATAGTACAAAAAAAAATAGTAGAAAAAGTTTGATCTTTATCAGTAAACCGATCATACATATGGCAAACCTACATATGGTTAAATAATCGAACTATGTTATTTTGTAAAGTGAGATTAGAGTTAGCGCCTGAGAAACAGATAATTCGAAAAGCATTAATCAGAAATATCCATAGTGGCGCTGCCGCTACAATGATAGAGCAAGTGACAGCGACAGATTTCCAGCTGCGATGAATATGTATGGAAGAAATGTAGTACAATGTTATAGTCATTTCACTAATCTTGAGTAAATATTTTCATTTTACACTTTTTGAGACAAACTAAAAAGCAATTTTTGAGCGATCTAAATTATTTTATTGTTTTTTTTCCGTTTTGGACGACTGATAATCCTTTTGTACACTGCAATTATCTCATATATCAATACTTTTTTGTTTGATATCTTCATATTTACTTGAATCTTGTCGAATGATACCTCAGAAATCTTCTATTACTCATATATCATTTATTTGATTTTGAAATGAGTACTAGGGGAAATTTAATAAAACTATCAAAAAGATAAATGTAAACAACTGAGAAATTTGAGAATAAATTGGAAATAGTAAACTTCATAAAATAAGACTATCTATAGTTAAGTATTGACTAACATTAAAAACCTTTTTGCTCAAGTGTTTTAAAACTGATATTATTAACTATTATGAATGACCAATAGGCAAGTACTGCAACTGTCTATAAAGTTGAAGACTTTTGTACTGCTACTGGTTGAACCATTTTCAGCAACGAATTTTGTTTATCAATTAACTGCTCAGATTCCTTTTTTTTGTTAACGTAGTGTTCTCTTCAACCAAGTGAAAACTTTTGATTTATTAAGCATCGAGTGATAGGAAAGTGAACAACAAGAAATAACTGTACGATGACTTTATATTCTGAGAGTAACCAATAGATAGCTAAAACCTAGATCCTTTACTTGTTCATGTACATATAGAGTGCTAAATATTGATGAAACAAAACTCTGATCTAGATCCAGAAAAATGTAGGCCAGCAGTTTCCTGTTGTCAATATGACAGTTTTTAACAATATAAAGTGTTATAAAACTGCTTATTTAGTCAACAAATATGATGAATATTATTCTATTAGAATGATAAGTCTGTTTAAAGAAACCTCTCGCCGTAGCAAAAAAATTACAACTATTATGAAAGTTTTTCTCAAAAACTATTAATAATCACAATGTTGCATTAAATTTATGTATTTCGAAGTATCTGTATTTCAAATGATAGCTTGAATTTTCCTCTGCAAAACTACATATTTCGATCAATGAACTATATTTAGGTTTGCCATAAATATCATCGATTTACTTAGAAGATCATTCTTTAGTATAATATTTATAATTATCTATAGGTTTGGATGTTACTGTACCTGAACCATTGCCTACAGACCATCCTCTTTTAACACTTGATAACTGTACAATATTTCCACATATTGGTAGTGCTGATCTATATGCACGTCATCAAATGGTACAAATATCTGTGGATAATTTACTCAATTTTTTTACTGGAAAACCAATGGTTCATCAACTTAATATAAGCAATGCTTAATAATATGATAGTTTCAAATTTTTTATTTAGTTTTACCAAATTTTATTTTTTGTTAAAAATCAATTAATAATTTATGATATGATGCTAGATAAGATTTTCTAATAAAACTTGATTCACTAATTTTAATTTCTTGAGTATTAAAACAAAAGAACATCAATAACATCACCATTAATAAAACATCCATCTTGAGATGCAAGCATAGCTATAACACTAGTTACATCTTCTGTTTTACCAAACTGTCTACTGGGCATTTTTAAATTATCAAATAAATGATTATTTATATCTAATGGTAATCGAACATTCTTATTCATTGAAGTATCAATACAACCTGATGTTACTACATTAACCTAAACATCTTGGAGAAGATATTCTCATGCAAGAAATATTGTAAATGCAACAATAGCTCCTTTACCTCCTCCATATATTGATATCAAAGGATGATCATGTAAAGCAGCTATTGAAGCTGTATTTATAATATTACCTTTTATAGTCACCAAATGTGGCAGACAAGTACGACACATTTAAAAATGTACCAATTATATTTGTATCGAGAATTGAATGAAATTCTTCTACTGAAGTATTTACTATTGAATCTGTAAATAATACACCAGCTACATTTATATAACAGTTATTGAAATACGTACTGGGCGATGTGAGGATTGTACAGTTTCTTTTGATCCTGTTTCATTAAGATCAATATCAAGAACGTAAGGATCTTCGTCAACAAGACGTAAAGTAACAGCTCGTCCTATACTCGATCTAGATTCAGTGAAATAGCTGTTTTACCATAGAATCGATTAGCAACAATCATTTGTGTATTCTAAAGTTAAGAAAAATTTGATCAATAATTTCACCAATTTGTTTTTGCGGTAGATTAAGTCACACTTACTAATGTGCAGACTTGAAAATGCGATGTTTCACTCATAATTTAAATACTGAGTAATGATGATTTGTTAACAAATGAAAAGTAAAATTTTTATTTTCAATGTTTCTACAATATCTTCATGGAAATAGTGACATATAGATGATGTATATTTTGCTATTCCTCTCGTTCTTTCCTTTTTGTTGTGTCATCGTACGACGTATAAATTGATTATTTCATCCATAGAATATTATTTCAAACAAAGATAAGATTTTCATTTTACTGAGATAATATACGTTTATAGTTAATATAAATAATTCAGTATCATTTAACATAGTATTTCCATTGGTTCGGTTCTCATTTCTTTCATTTACTACCCATGTAAAAATAAATCAAGAAAAAACGGGATTTTAATCGATTTTTTTGTGATTAAAAATCGATTAAAATGAGACGATTTTCATCAGAGTTTAATCAGATTCCTTGAATTTTAATCGATTTTAATCAGACTTCTTGCCTTTTATTCGATTATTTTTGATTTTAATCAGTTTTAATCGATTATAATTGATTATTCTTGTTTTAATGAATTTTAATTGATTATTTAATTTTTAATCCTTTTTAATCACGATAACCAAAGAATGCGGAAGCACAGATCGTTATTATCTCACGAATTCAGCGATGTCTGTCCGAGGTTGGTTTGATGCTGTCTCTACTATTTGTCGACGTGAGGAGTCAGATAAAGCGATAAAAAACTATGATTTCTGGGCTAAAGGTCGAGAAAAACGCAGTTTTTCGTTAACGCGATTAAAACTGATTAAAATTCAAGGAATCTGATTAAAATTTGATGAAAATCGTCTCATTTTAATCGATTTTTAATCACAAAAGAATCGATTAAAATCTCTCTTCTTTATTCAAAGAGTATAGAAATTTGGCTATGGCATCATGAAATGATTCGACATCGTTTTGATTGTCTAGGTTTTGCTTGATTAAATCGAATAATCAGAAGCCACATAGTGACAAATCTGGAGAATAAGGTGAATGCGGTATTACTGTGATGCTTTTCGATTCAAAATAATCAGACACTTCTTTATGAATATGTGGTTTTGTGTTGTTGTATAGAATTTTAATATCGTGAATGTCAAATGAGGGTCGTTGATGCTTGATTTCGTTGACGAGCGGTTGCAAACAATTTTCGATATAGTACTCATGATCGACATTTTGTCCTCGCTCTATACGATGAATCAGAACGGACCCAGTCGACTTGAAAAAGATAGAAAATATGGTTCTCGGAGCAAATTTACTGCGTCGAATCACTGTAAGTGGAGGATCCTCTCTTATCATCCAAGCAGCATTTAATGACTTTTGTCCGGCTTGTGGATGACAAAACCACGATTCATCTCCTGTCACCACATCAGAAAGGCGCCATGTTTCCTCTTCAAATTTTGCTAGATGTCATTTGCATATTCGAACTCGTTCAGCTCGTTCAAAATCGGTTAGATGTTTGGGTGTGTAGGGTATGGGTATGGATATGGGCTTTCTCTCTGTTCATCCACCCACACCCTATTACGTGTGCATATGCAGTAGAAAATCAACATCATGTACTTTAAATTTTTGTTTTGCTGAAGTATAAGAGTATCCCGTTTTCACCTTGGCTAACGTACAGTACAAGACTGTCAACATATGGAGGACAAGAAAAATAACATGCGAGTTATTCGATAAGATAAATAGTGACGAACGCAACTAATATTTATGGCAAGAAGAAATATTTCTCTTTTTAGATAAATTACATAATGGCTTTTTTTTAAATGCGCTTGTTAGTTGTCTAAAACGATTGTTCTTACTTATTTTGGTTCTGGCTGTTGTTATTCCTTTGCGATATGGATCAACAAATCCTAAATATCTTACCTTGCGTTTGCTATATTCAGTACTAACACTAAAACATTCTCTCTTATTGGATCAAGCTCGACCAATACTCAGCGCTAAATATCGAGCTTTTGAGAATATGTTACGTATGAAACCAGTAATAAAATATAATCCATTGGAAAATTCAATCGTCAGACTCAAAAACGTACGCTCCGGCATCAACCTGAATAACCTCATTCCACAACCACCACAATGTCAAATCAATAAAGAGGTTGTCGACCATGATGGATATTCAGTAGATATCTATTGAACATATATAATAGAGCGTAAGATCTGCTGTAGATATCATGGATATGTAAAAGGGACGTATTTGCCAATTAATTCAATGATTATAATAATAAGAATGTTAAATTAAAAAAAACGAATTAACAAAAATGAAAAATAGTGAGAGGATATCAACAATGCAAACAAAAAATAGGGCGCCCATAGAAAAAATAAAAAATTTCTGTTCGAAATGTAGAAGTTAGAAAGATTCTTTTTCTGATGTTCGATTATCCTGCAAAATAACTATAGTTTACAAGAGATTTTTCGCTTTACGTATTTTGTGTTAGTTTAATTAGGCTAGAGAGCATATGTGAGTTTCACATTTCAGCCCCAAAGAAGCTGCGCTAACAAGCTTTTCTTACCATTTTTCATATACTAGCAAAGATTGTGTCTTTATTTATGTTTTTTTCTAATATTTAGTAATAAATGAGAAAAGAAGATTTTTTTCAATTCAAATCTTACTCCATAAAAAGAATCATTTCATTTTCGATCTTTAGTATTCTGAAAATATTAAATAAAAGAATTAAATTATTTTATTTTTCAATTTAATAATAAAAATACATACTATGTCTATTTAGATGTCAAAATTTGGATAAAATATGGATAAAACAACTTATTTCAATTGATAGATTATAAATTCGAATTAAATTGTTAATATAGTATATAGCTTTATTCATGAAAATATTGAAGAAAAAGAATATACAAATAACGAGCATTTATGAGAAAATTCTTTTATTCTCGTGACTCTTATCAATTTGATATATGAAAAATAAAATTATATAAACATACTATTTCATTTTAATATATACAGTCGGGGTCGAAAGTTTCCGTTCTTTTCAAGTATCAATTATCAGTTAAATATAAAAGTGAAGACTTTTTTGGATCTTATAAAAACAAAACAGAAAGACTTTTCTTAGAGTCGAACTTTCGTTTTTTCTTTTGTTGAAATGATCGGTTTTTTACATTATGGCAGGGAGAAAAAGTGGTTATTCATTCGTCCGCTGACTAAGACTCATCTTTGTCATTCTCTTACATGCGCAAAGTAAACTCCAGAGGAAAAAAGAAGTCTTAGCCAGTGAATGACTGACATTTTTAACATCTCTCTTGCTTTTTTTTTCAATAATAATTAATTGACTACAGAGATGAGCACAAGACAACTTTTTCCATCCTATCCTGTCCTGTCCTGCTGGCTTCTCTTATCCTGGCGGGCGGCAGGATAGGATAATATACATGACGGTAAGAACCCTTATTGTAACTTTCGATCAACAAATTGTATAGCACTTTATCAGTTATTTCATAGCTAATTTATTTTGTGTCACATTTATATGAAACATTTAAAGTTTCAAGTGATAATAAATAATGTAAATACAAGGAAATGTGGATGTAGATTGGATGCACTATAAAAAAACAAGCGTAGGTTAATAAATCCCTAAAGAGTTTATAAAAGTGCAACGTGCGAAAAATCCTTTTTTTCTCGTATGTGAAATTTTCAAAAACTCTAAAAGGGTGTGGTATGTGTTGTACTTTCATCAACCGTTTTAAGGGTTTATGACAGGGGTAAAACCCTTCCTAAGTCCTTACAAATGGTTTATGAAATGGTATAGGAATGGAATAAATCTTTTTCTAAATGATTAAAAGAATTTTGTTCGAAGGTTCACGATCATCATTAAATCCATGTAAGAGTTTATAAAAGGGTTTAGAAACACTTTCCAAGCCTCTAGATCGGTTTAGAATCATTTCCTAAACTCTTTCCTAAATCCTTATACTTGTCTATGAAATCTGATAAACCCTTACACTCATCTATGGATATTTCTAAACTCTTTTCTTGAGGGTGTGGGTATAGCTTTCTCTCTGTGTTAGGAAGAAGACATCCACATCCACACCCACACCCATACCCTCAAGCACTATAGTGGCGAAATAGTACTTTTATATCATAGCCGTAGTGATTAGAAGGAAGATATGACTCATCCAAGGGTTAATTTGCGTGTTATAGGGTTAGAAAACAGAAGAATGATCTATACCGGTATACCGGCCGATTCGGTCTGGCCAGTTATATCGGTGCGGGTACCGGTAAGGGAAAAACACTATCGGTTACAACTCTGATGTGGACTACTTTTTGATTAAACCAAAAGATTGCTGCTTCATTCTTCAAGCTTCATTTATTCGATATCTCTACTGAACAGGAGTAAGCTTGTCAAATGCCTCATTGAGGAAAGCTCTATAGTGATCCCGTATTGTTTGTTCCGTGATGTCGTGTCTGCCATAAGGATGAAAGAACGCAGCCCATTCGGCAACACCATTGCCAGCTAGCCAAATAAAGCGAAGAGCAGCATAGAGATCCCAATATGGAAGATCAGTGTAATCGATATTCATCTGCGATTGATAGTGATGTGTGAATGAATGCATGGCATCGATGCTAAATATCCATGATATCTCTAATCGACTAATAGCCAAATCCATCAGTGGATCCCCTAC